ATTTTTTTTACAAATCCAAATCATGTGAAATTTTAGGTGTATATTCTTCTCATCGATGCGCACCTAATAAAAATATTAAAAAAACTGTTTTGTAAAATATAAATTGACCAAAATACCTTTGCAATATTTCGAGACAATTTTGATCAATTTATTTTTCATGAAATATTTTTTGATATTTTTATTTGATTATAATAATTTTAAAAAATACTCGTTCAAAATTTCAAATAATTTGGATTTATATAAAACAATTAGCCTAGTGGGCCTACATTAGCATTTCTCTCTCTCTCTATATATATATATATATTAACGTTATATGTTGTTTATATTGATGAGTATATATTCTCATTAAAATATGTTTCATCACTATTCTTAATATCAATTTTTATTGAGATAGTCTAAGCTTTTCAAAGAGTGGATGCAACAATATCAATTGCTTTAAGGGGTTGTCCTCGAAAACGTGATTCTACTCGAACAACTATTTAGAGAAAATAAACATACTCGGATTGCGGTAAGATTAAAATACAAATGGGGTGAGTTGGCCGACTCACCTATTACCTTACGGGAAGTCAAAAAATATTATATCCACTGAAATTAATGTGGACAACAGAGAGAGGAATTAAAAAAGCTACTTTTATATTTTTTGCAATTTTTTTTTCCCAAATTTACATGATTGTTGTAGAGAAGCCTAAAATTTTATAACAAAAAATACATCTTTGAGATAGATTTTGGAACGAGATCACAGAAGAAGAGGTTTGTGGGCTGACTCACCAAATACTTTTCCAATATATATTGACGCCAATATTGAAAGAAATGCATTTGGAAGGAAGATTGAGTGGAGATTATATATTAGAGGTGATTTGAAATTTTTTAGCCCTTACGTTCTGAACGTCAGAATTCTTGCATCCGATTCTATATTAGGGTCAAAGGTCGCACCTATTACTGTCATTTAATAAATAGTCTATCTTTAAAAATTTAATAACCATTATTTAAAGGAAAAGATATTGCCAGTCCTTAGTTGATGGAAGACAATAAGCCTAACAATCCATATTAACTTTGGGCCAATCTAATAGTCATAATCATATTTTATATTTAAATTTGAATTATTTTTTAACAGATTTAAATTACTTGAAATTTGGATCGTCCACTCTTCTCATCAAGACTCATCCAATAAAAATATTAAAAAACATATTCACAAAAACTAAAGGAAAATGGTTTGATAGGACTGAAGCCCCATTACAATAAGTAAAGCCTCACCTCATAACTCATCCAATAGTACAATTAAATTATTGAAAAACCTTTACGTCGATCATCTCAACTTGAACATTATGCTTGTGAAAAAATTCGGATTTCTAGCTTTAAAAATATTGTATATTATAATAAATTATTTAGACCATCCATTTTTTCCTAAAAATAAGTGTCTACAGATCCGCAAGAATTCTATTATTTTTTAGTTTCTAATTTTATTGTTGGAGCTAGAAATTGATTTTAAAACCACAATGGAGGTTTTCTTTGCGAAAGTGCTTTTCAGACTAGAATTTGAAATGAAGATTTATTTTGTTTTCATAAAGCCTTGGCCCTATAGAAACCTCATCCAAAACTCAATTAACTAAACTACCCCTATTAGGGGTAATTTTGGTTAATTTGTTTGACAAATTACTTTTTTTTAATGTTTTTATTAGGTTCATCTATTTTCAAGAGAAAACGCTCAAACTTTCAAGTGGATTGAATTTGTTAAAAAAAAACAAAATTACAACACAAAATGACCTCGTGATTTTTGGATTGGCCTAGATTCAATTTGTGCCATGAGAAAAACTTATGTAGACGCTACCTAAAATTCACAAGTTTTTCTCCTGCCTTAGGAACCCTAGATTTAAGTCAAATAACCTTAGATCTACCAATTCCAGCAAACATAGACATCCAAAAGGAGATGGTGGCGCAAATCATATTTAATTTTAGCTAATTTAATCTTTAATTTAGCTTTATTTTCTGTATTTTCTGTTATTTCTTAGTTTGTAATGTTTCAAATAGTTTTTATTGCAAATACACAGATCTAGAAGCTAACACTGCCAGTGGACCTAAGAAAGAATCATATCCAAATTGTTATGTGTCATTCTTGGGGCCATAATTCAAGCAGCCCCACTTTCTATTGTTTTTTCAAATTTAACTTAGTCTCGCTAAGATTTGAGCAGATCTCATCCTAGAGATCGGTGCGGATCGGAGTGTAAACAGTTTGGTACCCACCATATTTCTCTTACTTTACTTCATGATTTGTCACAGGTGCCTGGTTTTAAAGTAACGATATGAGTTTTAATCTCTTTATTCTAAAGTATTAATGAAAATGTCTTTCTCCCCTACTAATTTACTAAAAAAAAAAAATTGATGAATGTAACCGGCCTAGGACCCTCTTTAATCAAGCGAATTTTCATGTGAAGCAATACCTTGTATTATACAAACAATCAATGAACTCAGCAGTTATTAAGAAAAAAAAACCATGCTGCTTCATATTGATGTGTAGATGTTTTCATTAAGATATTTTCTATTTGGTACCGTTGGCAGTAAAAGGGCTAACTGTTTGGAATTACTCGATTTTACACTAGCGGGCTCTAGGGTGTGGATGGTTTCTTCAAAATTAATGTTAGTAAAAGCTTCAACACAAAACAATAAACTTTATATATAATTTACCCAAGAATTTCCCAGAAAATTTTTGAAAATCAATTGAGTAATTATGCATGGTTAACCTAAATGCGTGCGCTCCAGCGGTGCCTGGTTAACCTTGTTCAAATATATTGACCCACATTCTTCTTCTTGTCCTTTAAACAGGTCCAGGGTGCTCGTCTCTTGGATATGGAGCCATGGCAGAGTTGGGACCTTTCAGAGTCCACAGCAATGGCACGACTCTTTACAGGAACAAATATGCTTGGAACAATGGTAGAATTAACCTTATTTTCTGAATTTCTATTAACTATAAATCCTGATAATCTCAGAATCATTCAAAAGGCTTTCTTTGAAATTCACAATTATCAATTTTAAGTGCGGATCGTCTATGAATGATGCATGTTGTTCGCAAATAGCATTATTTTGTTTATCTTGGAACCATGGAATTTCGTATCTAGTAATGTTTTTAGGCACACAAGCAGGTTTTTTAGAGCTATCTTACTTCTAGAGTCCATAATACAATGCCTTGAACTATGAGAAAAAACACTCTAGATAGGTTTGTTACTCAAGAGACCAAATGTAAATTTTGATCTTACATGAGTATATGAACTTGTCAAAATAATTGGGACAATCACTATGATGACATCAACAGCAGAGTTTGTTGAAGATTGATGTCTTGTATTCTGAGGAAATATATCTGTCACGGTTCGGATATATCCGTACATGAGATTAGATATATCTGAGACTTGATATATATATATATTTGTACAAGGGTATTTCGGTAATTTGTACCATCTAGATATATATCGTTACGATTGGGGGTTCATCCAAAGTTAAGGGTTAAGGGAAAAACATAGATCCCTTTGTAATTAGATAAAAACAGAGAGCCGTGAGGAAGAGAGAAAATGTTAACCCTAGTCTCCATTGTCAGTAAAGAGACTCTAATCTCCCATGGACGTAGGCACGTTGCCAAACCAAGTATATATTTGCGTTGTGGTTGGTTGTCTATTTCTTTTGTGTTTTTTTCTTCTTTTTTTGTTTCATGGATTGCTTTTTCATTTCTACAGAGTCTATGTATAAGACACCAAAACCCAAAACTTGGTAAAGGGGGGATTGCTATTGCATTGACGACGAACTCGGGAAAGTTACTGATGTAACTCAAATTAGTATATATCATAACTCGGTGAGTTTCGGACGGACTCGGTGTGTCTATTAGTACTCACCTAGTTGGGCACCTTTCTTGAAATAAAAGGGGTGCAGAAATATTACCCCTTTTTCCTCATTTGTCTTCATTGAAGTATCTAATGTCAAGAAATATGGTTTCAATATTGGAAATCTTTGTAATAATATATTTTTATATTTATTTATAAAATTTAAACCTTCAAAGATAGTATAGATCGACATATCTATAAAAAATTAAAAATCTTAAAGATTGATGGCCCAAAAATACGTTACAAAATATACTATTTTCAAAACTTGAAATCCATTTTTTCTCATGCCCATGCATCTTGATGTTGAGATCATCGATTTGAAGATATTTGGGCATCAAAACAATCTCTTCTAATGAAATTGGTTAGGTAGGCTCAAATTTGATTGTTTAGAGCCTCAGCTCTATATAAATTTTTCCTTCTCTAAGGGCTCATTTGGATACCTGGAAATATATTGCCTGTGAAATATATTACTGACGTAAACATTACTGTATAATACATTACTTGTAAATGGATTGTTACTGTTTGGGTAGTATTTCGATGCAACCTGAGAAATACATTGTTATTTTTTGGCTATGTCTGGAAGAAATATAGGAAATGCATTACCCACATTTTACCAGTACAGGCCTATAAACTATCATTTCTTTCTTTTTTATCACAAAATTCCACTAAAATGCAGAATTATCATTTCCTTCTTTTTTGTCATAAAATTTCACTAAAATATTGAATTAAAATAATCATCACACCATTCCAAAAAGATTTCTAATAATAACATTATCACCATTCCAAAAAGATTTTTAATAATAACTTGTACCATTTTAAAGTCACTATTTCTTCCTACTTATTTTAAGTGCATTTGGCACTTATATGCAATCATATGTTTTCTAACTTGACATTGGTTTCAACATGATAAGTCATTAGCACAATATGATTGGAATAACATGATTTTATTATGATAAGTCTTATTTTTATTTATTTATTTATTATAGAAGTCTTTCAAATGTCTCTCTATATAATTTCAAATAAAAAATAAATTTATGAAATTAAATTCAAAATCTGTAGGATACGAGTTAAAAAATGGGAAGAAGTTTGATTAGCAAACTAGAAGGTTTGGTAACTGCAGTATAAAATTTTGAGGTATTGGAGGAGACTAAAAAAAATGGATTTCAAGTTTTGAAAATAGTGTATTTTGTAACGTATTTTTGGACTGTCTAGTTTCAAGAGTTTCATAGATATCTACACTATTTATGAAGCTTTAAACTTTATAAATAAAGATGAAAATATATTTTAAGACCATCACAAAGATTTCTAGTATTGAAACCACATTTCTCGACACTATTTGAAGGTAGGCTCTAATTTGATTGTTTAGAGCCTAGTCTCTATACAAACCTCACCCTTATTATATTTTTATTTTTATTTTCAATAAAGTTTCCCCTTTTTGTGTGCATTTGGGTCGACTTAGGGAACTAAATGAGTCCACTCCAAATTTGTCAACTCGCTCCAAGCTCATGTAGAGTTTTGGCGGGAGCACGATTTTATAAACGTTGCATGTGAGACGATTGAAATGTGCGTCAATCATTTATGTTTGGTACTATTTCCTATAGTTTTAATTCAAATGGTCAAGTCAAACCGCAAATCAGTTTTATTTCAAAAAGTTGGCGGAAAAAATAGGGTAAAAATTATAGATCACCAAAAAAATAAGATAAATTATAAAATCATGATATTTCAAATTTGGTTAAAAAATAATAGAGTAAAAAAATAGTATATGTAAAAATAACAAAATATAGGATTATACTTTGCAGCTATTGTATAGATATATTAAAGCTATTAAACAATAATTTTATAGCTTTTCTGGAGTCATCAGAGTAATACTTGAATATTTTTTGTTGAAACTTTTAATAAATCCAGCAACAATGTTTACTTTGCTGTTACGACATAAAACATATCGTAAATTTATTGAGAGTATTCAATGAAACAACACCACCAATACTAAATACAAGAAAAAATTAGCAAATAACAAGAATTACGAACCAAGGTAAAGACTCAAATATGTTAAATAGTGGTACATCCGAAATGCTATGTTGTATATGTCAATGAAATGAAAACTAATTAATGAAATATAAAATTAATCAAACTTCTCTATGCATAAAAACAACGCAACAAAATGTTTAAACAAATTCAAATCGCGCACTTAATTCCTAGCGACCGAAATATTCCATATCATTGAATCTCTATCTTGCTCTTTGTAGAGATGTTATGGTTTTCAACAGAGAGAGAGAGAAAAAAAAAATTAGTGGGTTAAACTCTTCTTCTAATTCTATTTATTATTTTTAGATATACGATTATTTTGATTACCTTTTTTTTGGGAATATATTCCTTGTATTTTTTCGTATACTTTTTTAAGGGAACTCATTGATAATATTTTTTTTTATGGAATCTTAAGTTAAATTAAGATTTTTAATTTATCCCATTGTTAATGTAATTATCTTTAAACCAAAATTCATTAATATTCAAGTAACGAAGAAATAAAGTTATAGGGAAAAAGTCTTTTTCAAAAGGTTTCTTTTGAAAAAAGGTCGATTTTTTAATATTTTTTGAAAAACTTGGAGTTCTTAATGGATTTTAAGAAATCAGCGATTTTTTGAAAATCATGTTTTAAACAGAGACATGCCAAATATGTGTCAAACTACCCCCATGCAAATTTAATTAAAAATAAGATTAGAAGTTCATGTAATCTACATTTGAAGCTGTAAGTACATGGGTGCAGTGGCAAATTTGTTGTTCTTGGAATCTCCTGCTGGCGTTGGCTTCTCTTATTCCAACACCAGCTCCGACTATGATCTTAGCGGCGATAAGAGAACAGCATCTGATGCTTACACTTTCCTGATCAACTGGTTCGAGCGATTCCCAGAATACAAGAACAGCGATTTCTACATCTCAGGAGAGAGCTACGCAGGTCACTATGTTCCACAGCTCGCATATCAAGTCCTTTGGCACAATCAGATGGCCACAAAAACCATCATAAATCTCAAAGGCATCGCGGTGAGCTCCAATTTCTGTATTTGATTTTTCACACACATACACAAAGACTGAGTTGTGTATAAGTAATTGCAGATTGGTAACCCGTGGATTGACGTTGCGATTGACACACTAGAATTTTATGAGTACTTGTGGACCCATGCGATCCTCCCAGACGAGATCATCAACGCCATCAATAGATATTGCAATTTCTCACTTAACAGGCAATCCATACCATGCTCTGATACCCTCTCTCAATTGGACATTTCTTCCATTGACATGTACAACATCTATGCCCCTATCTGCAACACCACCAACAAACACAAGCCTTGTGCTAGTGACCAGGTATTAATTCTCCTCACTTCTCTTTTTTCCCCTAGTGATTACTTCCTTTTTCACGTAGGGTTGATGTCCCTATAGTAGTATTACTATGACAGTTGCCAATATTTGAGGACACTCAATATTTGAGGATACCTGGCTATATAGAAGACAACTAAATATTGCGAGGCGCTCAATTTCTATTAGTTGTTGTCAAGGATCGACACTTTGACATATAGCGACGCGTGAGGATGCCTAATTATATTATATAAATTCCCCATCCAATTGTCAGTTGATAATTAGTAAATATTTTATTTTATACATTCTATAAAATATTATATTTCATTCAATAGGTTATAATTGTGTGTCCCTATTAAACCAAAGTACTGGACACCTTAAATACATGATTCTTTTGGTCTCTACTAATAAATGGCTGGTTGTATGCAGGAATATGATCCTTGCACAGATGACTACGTGGAAATGTATCTAAATCTTCCCCAAGTCCAAAAGGCACTCCATGCTAACGTTACTGGGCTAGAGAATCCGTGGTTTGCATGCAAGTATGAGTTTTTTTTTTTCCCCTTTATTTTTTTGTACTTCTTTATATTAAAGAAGCAAATTATAAAGGAAAGTTCTTGATATTCACACTAATGCTAAGTTGTATTATTGTGGACCACAGCTTTTAAAACTAACGATTATGCAAGGATATCCAACACTGGTCAAAATCACCTATAGATACCATTTTTAAGGAAAATTTTAATTTAAGGTTGCAACTATAAAATGTAGAATTAAGGTACACATAAAAAATCCATCGAAAAAGGTTGTTTTGATGTTGGAAAGCCCTTTAATATCTCTTCTCGAGGTCAAGATGGATGCATATAGGAAAGAAAGAGATTTTGAGTCCTAAAAATAGTTCATCTTACAATATTATTTGGACCATCCATTTTCAAGATTTTCATGTGTTTATGATCCACTTGATTTGAATCATTTTTAAAGTTTAAAATTTTATAATTAGACATATAATGGACTCTTAAGCCATCTTGAAAACTTTTGACACCAAAATTACACGTTAGGCTAAAATTTGGAAGTGCGCCTTAATTTGATAGTCTAAGGTTGGTCTTATCCTATTTTGTTTTGCTGGACCGTATGGTGAGAACACAACTAATAAGGCAGAGATGTTAGCAGTTCTTCAAGGATTAAAATTTTTAAAGAAGAAGAACATTCAGCATCCTTGTGCTATTGAAGGAGATTCTTTTAATGTTATGGTAATAAGGTTAGAGGCCACCATGACGTTTGAGATCATATTTGGTCGGAAGCTATGGATATGGGGGAAGGATTGTGTATTTCTTTTTGACAAGTCCTTCAAGAGGCTAATGATGTTGTTGATTCTTATGCGAAGAGGAAAGTTCTTTTGAGCAATAAAACTATGGAATATTGTCAAAAAAAAAATTGCAACCTTTTTATAATGATTAGATAAACAGAGAAAATAAAAACTTTATCAAAATAACCTAACGTGTTATGTGCCAAGCACGTAGTGAGTGCCACACTGATTGTCATAGAGGAATTGGTATAAATATTAAGGAGTTTTATGTGATCGCTTCATATCAATGAAGATGAAGAGCAAGTTCATAGGACAACTATGAGACCAACTTTGTTTTATGGAGTGGAATATTGAGTGGTCAAGAAACAATAGATTCATAGAATGAGTGTAGCTGATGAGAATATTTAGATGGATGACTGGTAAGATAAGAAATGATAGAATACAAAATGAATATATTTCCGAGAATTTAGGTGAGGTACCAACAAACGATAAGATGACAGAAAGTAGATTTTAATGGGCTGGCCATGTACAGCGCAGATCCAGTACAATAACTATTAGGAGGCATGAATAAGTTCAAGTAGAATGCTATAAAAAGGCAAGGGATTGGCCCAAAAGGGCACAGTTGAAAATAGTGACAAAAGATATGAGGATTATGACTTTAATAAATGTATGACCTTTAATAGAGCAAATGACATATTATGATTCATGTAGCCAACCTTTGTTAGTTGGGAAAAAGTTCAGATGATATTAATGATTATCAAGAAATTGCTATAAATAGTTGTGTTAAACCCTTACTGGATGGGTTGCTGGTAATGTGCAAACAGAAGAGAAATCAACAAAAAAAAATAAAGCAAAATAGAGCTCTACTCCCACAATTTTTCCTAAGATAGCATTATCACATACGTGTGTGTACGTGCATGTACATGAAGCATGAACACAGTCCTTTTGACACTTTATTTTATGTAAGTGATTACTGTTTAATTGTTTTATCCACAAATATTTGTGAGTCACTGTATTTGGATAATGACCCTCTATGAAAAATACCTTAAAATTCATAGGTTAACATTTAATAACTATATTGCTTCCTTAGGAATTTTTCCACAGGATCATTTCCCTTTCCATTTTAGCTTGAGTGGGTTAGCAGATGACATTTAACTGTGCTACATCTCAAGTTCAATTTCTACTACTGAACTACCCAAAAAAAATGGGTGGTTATAATCACCTACTATTAGTGCATGGCATATTTTCCGAAGACCCTATTTAATTTACTAATTGACTCAGTCCACTTTATTAAGACAGGATCCTTTGGGATACAATTATAGGTTTTTTATTTTCAGTTTTTTGAGTAGTCCATTTACTTAGAAATTTGTTAAAAGTCTTTGTTTTTGTCATATGTCAAAAATGTGCAGGGATATGGATTTATCCAAACTCTGTCAAGTTTGCGCAATGTGCACCATTGATCTTTAGTGTCTGTTTTTCCAAATGAACAGTAGATACATTACTGGTTCTTCTACCTTTCATCTTGCAACATGTGAGCATAGTATGCTGAATACTCCTTACTGAAATGTGGCAGACCTTTTCTCATGCATATTCAGAAATTTGCCATTTCCAAACAAGTTTTTGCCCTCAACATCAACCATACAAAATAGAAATTCATGTGTTCTAAGGTGAGTAGCAAAAACAATATGCTACTAGTTCCTCAACGGGAGTAGTAAGGATGGACTTTAGTGCCCAATGCTGACATTGGATGGTTTACAGACTGTTAGCATGATGTTTGGAAGTAAAACGTGAGCGTAACATAATTTTCCTTAATTGTATCATCAAACATAGTATACTTTTTCTTATCTGTATTATTAATTACAGTTTCTTCTGTCTTGGTAGTGGGATGAATCTGTATTGGAAGGATGCACCACTTACTGTACTTCCCCTAATAAAGAATCTCACAGCGAATGGCATCCGAGTGATGCTATACAGGTAATTTGCAACTTGAAATAAGCACTACGTGAAAGATAAATGTTTTGCTAGTCAACAGCCACGCTTCTGATACGGTAAATCCTATACATTTCGATTCAATGAATTAACAATTTTTTTTAAAAAGTAAAGAGTCTTATAAGCTCTTAAACACTTAATTCCAGCAGGAATTTTATAGAATCCTTAGCACACAAAGCAGCTTAAAATCTTATATATTCTTCTTTCATCATTTTCAAATCCTTTGGGAAAGTTTGGTAGGATTAGTCTCATCTATAGTACTTTGTTTTATCAGCTCTAGTAATTGTTTTGCTGCATTTTTCAAACAAAAAGTTTTCAATATGTAGTGGACTAAATGTCTCTCTGCAGTGTTCAATGAAGGGTATATTATAAAAATATATTTAATCATTATTGATCCATCCAAACTTAATAAAATGTCTAGGTAAATTCTTAAAATTCTCAAATATAATATTCTTATATTTTTTTGTGCTAAATAATTGATAGTTGTAGCTACGGTTTGCCCCCCTCTCTCTCTCTCTAAATAATTTGCAGTTGTAATTATCTTTGAGAGAAAGCATCATGCACTGAAACAAATAAAAATAAAATAAAAAATTAAATTGTTCATAAGCATGTAGTCCTTTGTTAAAACTACACACTGTGTTTCTCTAGAATAAATCTTGATCTGACCATTGTTCATGCATATTCTAACCAAGGAAGATAATTAAGATTAGGTGGAAAATTTTCT